CAAGATGTAATCCCACCTGAGTCGGAGCAACAGATGGGTTATCTGTTGCTCCGACTCTACATACTTTTTGGCCAAAGAAGTATTAGCCCTGTAGCTCATTGCTCATTAAAATTAGAAATCCAGTATCTCAAATTATTTAAATGTTTTACTTTTAGTTTGAGCAAATTACTATTTACATAGTGTAAATACCAGCTGAGTATCTTTCAGTCTAGTTCAGTTCATGGAACCACAATCACAAGGAAGGCTGCTGATTTTACAGATAATCGACAGCCTACAAAAACAGGATAATCCACAAAATCCCATTGCTGAAAAGGCTGGTTGTTCACAGAGTGCAGTAATGGAAAGTTGAATGAAAGGACAGAGTCTAATAGAAAAAATATGCACAAGAAACAAGGATGAGAGCCACCTTTTGAGAGGATTCTCAAGAAAAGTCCATCCAAAAACTTGGCATCAGTGGATCAAGAGCCACCACACACACATGCCCCCTTCAACTGTTGCATTCTTAATATAAAGCCACTCCTGAACCGGAGACAACGTCAGAGACGTCTTACCTGGTGTAAGCAGAAAAAGAAGCGGAGACTTTCTCAGCGATTCGAAGTCGTCCTTTTAGATGAAAGTAAAATTTGCATTTCATTTCGAAATCAAGGTCCTCGAGTCTGAAGGACGAGTGGAGAGGCAGAGACTCGAAGCTGTCTGACCTTTGATCACCACGGCAGACTGAAATGAAGTCTTTCTTTTCCTTTATAGATTCATTTCACTCGCCGGCATGTTACATTCTGAGGGCGATTCTCCATTTCATCTATTCTTTTAGGACCCGGTGTCTTATTTTTTTTTTAAGCGTATAAGGATTTATAAACTGTGAATTATGCAAACCTACGGCAGTAGAGTAAAAGAATAAAATTTCAAATTTATTGGCTTGACTGAAAGACAACCGAGGGAGAGGTTGTTAAAATACTGTCACAGCAAATACTTAACTCTAAGTCAATGAAAATAATGAATGTCTCTTGGGGATACAGAGACGCAAAAAAAGTATCTAACTTACTTTCTGTAAAAACATATCCTGCTTCTCCCTAAAGATGCAGTAAGCGACAGATCAACCTTAAAGGCTGAATAGAAAGCTGTCAACATCTGCCAGAGTGCAGCTTTGATGAAACTCCGCGCTGCTACTCCCCCACCATTTACCTGACTTTTCTCCTCCTCTTGCAATTCCCCGTGGTTCTGTTCCCCCTCCTCTACTATTTTTCTCATTCCCTTCCTTCTGTTTTCCTCCTCCACTTCTAAGGGACAACTGCTGAGAGGCAGCCTTTCTGTGACAGCAGGGGAGGCGGCTGATGGGAGAGATGGAGGTGTGGGGAAAATTACACAGATGGCCGGATGTGTGTGCGACTTTTTGATCGTCGGTAGCTTTGAACAACATTTAAAAACAACAATGAACGTTTTTGTTAGAGATTTTTAAAATGAGACAGTTTGGAATAAATTCTGCAAGTACAACTTACGTGTGTTAATAATAATTTCAAAAATATGTGTGCGTCTTTGTTCTGCCTGTTCCAGAGGCTGTAATGTGTAATGTGAAAAGGCAAGCAGCAGCTATTCGAATATATAACGAGTCTGGGCAGTGCTTTACAAACAGTTATTCAGCACAGGCACTGAGGTTTCTTAGTTTTGCAAGAGAGGATAGACTTGCGGCTTGATTTCTAGAAGTCCGGCAGACACCTGAGACCCCCATTTGTTTGTTGATGCTCTTTAAATATGTTTTTTCTTAAACCCCTGGCAAAGACAGCAGTGGCAGTAGGGCTTAAGAGCAAATTTGAGCTCAGTTATCTGGTTAGCTGCTTCATACATAGCCTGCCATTCTGTTTAGTTTTGTCCAGCAAAGGGGAATACATCAATGAGCGCACTAGACCTCTTCAACAAATCAGTGTTCTGGCAGAAAAGTAATGCAACTCTGGATAGAAATAAATAAAAAATTGCATAAGCTCATCGAAATGGTGCCATGCAGAATGTATGCCATCATCAAAGCAAAAAAGTGATCCAACAAAATATGTCGGTTTGATTTCTTTTTTATGGCTGGGAAATACATGTAACTACATCCTATGATTTTTCAACCCAATATTATCAGCCAGAAGCTCTCTGCATACTTCCAGCTGTTTTAAATGTGAGAAAAAGAGTCTATTTTTTTACTATAATGTATCCAGTCACAGTAGTTGAGCTGATCTGTAGTGGATACAGATCCACTGTATTCAGTGAAGTTCAGTGTCTCTCTTCTCGTTGCTGAAGGACAACAAGATGATCATATTTGAGTCTGCGGTGCAGATGTCAGTTTTATTTCCCATGCATTGCAGTTTGTAAGTTACTCATTTATGACCCCTCCTTCTATAAGAAGGTTGTGGATTTTAAACCTCTGTATGTTGGGCGTGTTTCATTTGGATCCTGTTTCTTATGAACGATCAGAGCGAAGCTTGATTTTTATCAGCATCAGTTATAACAGACAATTTCTCCCTTCGCAAAAAATATGACCTGTCTCATCTATCATTTCTTTGTAACACCAACATCCTGTACCACGGGAAGATGAATTGTAGATATTTGCAGTTACAATAGAAAAGCAAGAGATATTATTAAGAACCGTTTATTCCCATATCTCGATGCCAGCTGCTCATTTTAAAATAATCAGGACCACAAGGCTTGAAATTAATGATCTAGGAAAGTTTGATAGGCAGCAAACGTATCTGAGCTCATGTCAGCAAGGTTTACAGTTCTTCAAATGTTCTTGTAACAGTGACAAAAGATCATCAGCCCCTTAGGCTTTCTGTATTTTCTCTTTGTGTTTACCCTTGTCAGTTACTTCTTCTTTTCCGACTTGCTTAGTCATTCAGAGGCGTACCTTGGTCTAGTCCCTGACCCTTGTTGATCTGTGAAGGAAAAAGATTGCCACTTACTGTCTCTTGGACACGTTAGGTCATCAGCTGCTCCTCTTCACTTAACCCTTCAATTTATAACATGTCAGGGTTGTGTAAGCACGGCATAAAAGAACATCTGTCCATGCGTATGTCTGAGTCAGTACTGCTGTGTTGCTGATTTCCCTCCCTTTTATCAGTTTCTTTTCGTTTCCTGGTTGTTCGTTCTTCATCCTATTGTTCTGTTTGTTTTGTTCTGTTTTGTGTTGGATTATTTCATGATTCTGTTACCTCCCTCTTTCTTTCTGTGTGAGCGACAGTGATACCTGCAAACCATTTAATTAAGTTCCATTTGTTTTCATCTGGAAACGGGTGGCTGTTCTTTTATTTATTGACTTCGAAAAAGATGCAAAACAAAAAACGCTGCGTGTTGGACCGTGAGGAGTCGTGTTAATCTGTTATTTTGACCGGCAGCACGCACATGCACACTGGGCAATTCTTTACATACACAGATATGTTTTCAGTTTAACAGGAGGATTAAGAAAGGTTGAATTATCAGTTTCTTTAGATCAACGAGCAGTGTTGTGTTTGGCAGTATGTCTGTGTAGTCTTTGCATTATAAGTTATGTAGTGTGAACACAGGACAAAGAAGGACCTGTGACCTGCGTTGTAAAGAGCTTCATTTTTCGCTCTAAATGGGAAAATGTCCAATTTTAATCTTGATCTTCAAAAATCAAGAGGAAACACTTTGCATTATTAATGATGGTATAAAATTGTTGACTCATGATTTAGAATAAAAGTAACCTCCCTGTAACTAAGGAAAATCTGTGGTTGCTAGGTGACTGCATTGAATATTTTGGGATTCGGCGACTGACTGCAAGCAGCTCTGCCATTCAACTGGTCACCCAGAGGTTAAGCGTGCAACACCCTCAACCTCTGGGCGACCACTATCGATTTCACAGGTCAGCTGGTGACAGGAAACCTGTCGCCACAAAACAACTAACACTGACAGCAATCCCTCTCAGAATGATTTGCAAATAATCGCTGTCTAATTTAAAAACAAACTGCCCCCAAGAGCGCCACTCCTCTGACACATCTCTTTGCAATAGAGGACTGATTGCCAATTGGTTGTATTCTGCTTATAGTCCCTGTTGATTTGCTTCCCCCTGCATAAGCTGCCTTTATAGGTTAAAAGTACCAGTATAGGCAATATTGGTCCTGTATTTACTTGGTATCCCACAGCACTATCAACAACAGTAATTAATTCCTGTTATGCTAATGGAGTTTTCTCAAACTTTTACTCGCATACCTTCCTTGCAAAGAAAGTTCACATCCCCGTACCCCACAACTCTGTATTTACTATTAACAAAAATGAGAAATTAATTTAAGTGACAGTCGGCACTTGTTTATTTCCTCTAAATAAATTACATTTATTCCACTTCCCTTCACAAACCACCCTTTTTCTCCCTGGGCATCAACATGGTCCAATGGCAGGTTTCTCCTCTTACATAATGAACCATGGCCCCTGCATGATTTGCATCATCAAATGAACCCAGTGCTATTTGAAGTATTGAAACTTCATGGACATTTTAAACACCAAATGTATTATTTCTTTGTTTATTCTGCTTTAAATCCTACATAGCTGTCTTTTCGTCTTATGGTGCTTTCTTTGCTCTCAAAAAGCTGTTGAATTCAGGACCATTTTCACTCTGCACAAGTGATAAACAGCTGACAGATTCATTAGAATACACATTTCCGATTAGGACAGTCAGCTATTCATGTCACTGAAATGCCTTATCTGCCATTTACAAGACTATAGAGACATGTAATATATCCAGTAGTTATTATTCATACAGGTATTTTTTTCCTAATAATTTTATTTTACTGTCAATCACAGGTGCTCATTATTATAGCAGACAAATTTGCCCCACAGCTCTGGAAACTTTAACAACGTGGTTTGAATCCAAGTATGTACATCTCAATAACATAACATGGTGCAAAAAAGCCGTCGCTCTCTTTCACGATGCTCTGCCTCGGGCCCACATTAGACGCCGCGTGAGCGCTAAAGAGACGTGGCGGTGAGTGGGACTGACAGACACACTCGGCACAGGTCACAGCTTGTTTTATTTTGAATTCGAACCAAGAGAAGAGGGACAAGGATGCACACGGATAAATTACACCAGGTATCGCTACATATCAACTAACAACATCACAACATCTCATTAAAGCGCTCTTGACAACAGATCCAACATTACCAAATTGAAAAAAAATTAATAATAATAAGAGTGCAGGAGGAGAACTCGGCTGCAGCTGAAGCCCATCCATAAACAGAACAATACACAGTGGCAAATAGTTTTGGCAAGAGACAGTTGTATGCACAATATCTTGTTTCCCATCTGCAACATTGTGTTTAATGAAGCTACAAGACTGGCAACTGAAGCAATATGTAGTTCACATAAAGGAATTGTAAGACTAATTTTAAAAAAAAGGAGAAGAAGAAAAACTCCCTAAAGCTACTACAATGCATACACACAACCTAGCACATCTTTATGTACAGCTTAGCTCACTGCAGGATCTCAGGATTTAAAATGTATGGCACATCACATTTAAAATGTTCTTCTTCTTGTGTATGAGCGATTAAACAGCAATGAAGGGGGGGGGAACTCGTTCGGTCAAGTCAGAACTGACGCGGGCCTTGGCCTCAGACAGACCAGCTGAAGCTTTGACACATTTTGGGTGATACGCCTGTGTAGTTTTTGACAGGTATGCCTGAGGTTGCCTAGTCTGCACAAAAAAAGCTAGAAAGAAGAGGGGCTGAGAATGACTATACAGTAACTACAGTATACACACTGGGGAAAATATGACTTCAGAGACTCGCACAAAGAAGCGTGAATCTCAGCGTCAACTCGTGCCTTCGTACAAAGAGTTACCTGGTAATCACATACAAAACATCCATAGATTACAGTAAAAAATAAATAATCATGATAGTCAATGAATAATCATTTTGAGGAAGGGAGTAAACAAGATAACAAGAGAGCAGACTGCAGGTGGATGTGGGTGTACGTCAGCAGATGATGATAACCTCAACAGAGTAAGAGATCGGATGCCCCTCGATAAGAATGAGCACATAAAAGAGCAGACAAGTTAATCTGAATACAAATGTGCTTGTGGGGTTTAATGTCTGCATGCACGATTTCACTCTATATATGTACTCTTGTGTGAATCTGTCTCTTTTGTCTACAAGTCTAAATATTCACTGACATGTTGTCGGCCTGTGTCTGCATGTACGTCTTCATGTCTGCATGTGTGTCTTTACATCCTTTAACCATTCAGCTAACTCAGTGGCCCTCACCGCCACTCGGGGGTTTGGCGTCGCGCCCTCCTGACCCTCCAGGCAGCCAGGGGGAGACAGAGTGCGAGGTGGTCTGCTTGGCCATGCTGTAGTGGCTGATCACTGTATAGAAACGGCCCCTGGAGTTGGCATCCTGGGCAGCGTAGTAGGCCTCAAGAGAGGCTGGGATACACCGCTTGTGCTGTAGGGGGAACAACAGTGAGGTTGGTGTGATTTAGCAGGAGAGTAACATGCTAATTAAAAACTCTACTGAATCATTTACAGAGTTAAAGCAATGAAACCTGAAGGAAAACATTAAAATCCCAACTTCAATTACAATCCAGGCAAAATGTGTTTATACCACATTTATTAAGTTTTTACACTGATTGTATACTTAGCATTGGCCACATCAGAAATATTCAAAGATAACACTACATCAAGGAAAAGCAGGTACGGTGCTGCTACTGTACTATAATCACTTGTGCTCCAGTTCTGACAGAGACTACAAACAGAGATGTCCCATTTTAGCTTCTAGCATATTAGCGTTAAATCCTTCTGCTCACAAGCAAAGGTTTTAAATAACCAGGTCCAGTAAAGACCTCATAGTCCCATTTTATCCTAATAGCACATTCTAAACGAGCTGACAGCTCTGCCTCCTAATCTAAAAGTGGACCCGACTCCCAGTTTGGGTCTGGGAGACAGCTCTGCTTTTAAGACAAGACTTAAAGCTTTCCTCTTAAAGCTTATAGCTAGTTGTTTAACTCTGGTTTTCTCTCAGAGTGTGTATCTTTTGTCCCAGGAGCTTGGAAAGAAAAGCATCTGGACTTCTTTAAGTTACTTGAAGCCGTTTCACCTCTCATCTGAGAAGCTTTTTCAGTTCTAAGGGCAATTGGTGGAGAGTCCCAGATTTTAAGCCCTATGGGAGGGTCCCCAAGAGGGTCATGGACCTCCTATTGATCCTCTACCTAATCACACTAACCAAGGTGTGAAAATGGGTATGGGACAGAGAAGACAGGTGGTTTGAAAGAGGAGTGAAAGAAGCCATCTATGTCCACTGTGAACGACCCTCTTTGAACAGAGGCAGTGGTTTACAACACCAACTGTCTGCCATCTAAAATCCAGTTTTGAGATCCCTTTCCAGACGCCTTAACGCCCACTCACACCCTGGGCCAATTGACCTCAGGAAATCACATGATAGGGTGGGGCTCAATGGGTTCAGCCGAAAATTTGGGTGATTGTGACCTACACCCGTTTTCACACCTTGGCTTGACCCTCTTGGGGACAATCCCATAGGGTTTAAAATCTGGGACTCTTCACCAGTTGCTCTTAGAACTGAAGAAGCTTCTTGGATGAGATGTGAAATGTCTTCAAGCAACTTAAAGAAATCCAGACACTTTTCTTTCCAAGCCCCTTAGACAATATACACAACTTTCTCCCCACAAATTTTAATTATATTCTTCTCTATTTGTACTAAGTGTGTGCAGAAGAGACAGAAAAAAAGATTAATAATATTGCCACAACATAAATCCTCTGGTGGCATTTGACATAATACAATCAGGGTCTTATGAAAGGATGAGAAACCCACTGTAATATATACTAAGAACAAGGTAATTATCTCATGTTTTCTAATACTTTTTGTTAGAACACTGAACACACACAGTAATATTGTCTCTTATTAGGTAAGTCACAGTGAAATTGTGTGTACTCTGTCACATTAATGATTTTTTAGTTACCACATTACCTCATTGAAATACCTTATTTATTAAGCAGTTACCTTTTTACATTTTCTATGTAAATAACTGTATGTTTGCTCTGTTATCTGATGGTGTAGCCGACCAGCTACAGCTTTCATTATACATTGTAAAATGTCAATAAAAGTCTTCTATTTCTGATTCTAATATTAGTTGTAATAAGGAGGTAAAGTCAGAAGACACAAGAAGACGCCTAAAGCTCTGCATAAGATTTATAGGTCAGTGTGCTCCAGTGTGTACCCATTTAAAGCCTCACATAGTTGTGCTGTGTGTGGCACACTGTGTGAGCAGGCGTGTCTTTCTATTGACACCTTTCCACCTTGTGAATGTGGATGTGACACTGCTAATAATACCTCAGCAGACTGCAGTCAGAGCCCCTGCAGAGGTTGTGGGCCTCAAACTAGATTTATTCCACCTTAAAGACTACATCTGTCTAGAGACACATACTTGCAAGGTGACCTCTTACAAGGTAGAGTAAAACTTATAAGTAGAGGGCAGTAGAAATCAGCAGAAAAGAGGCTGTCTGTATCCATACACTGTAAAACCTAAAACAGACTGTTGCATAAGGACATCAGTGTGAAACATTTTCTTTTACGACCTCAGCCGTAATGATCAGGAGTCAGTCATAATGTGGTAATTACCATAAAATATTCAGCATGTCTGATTTTTCTAATTTTCATCTAATTGTCAACCAAGCTATTAACATATGATAGAGGACTAAATTAAGTGTCTTTTTGGCTTCTGTGTCAAAGAATAAAAGCAGAAAATTACACCGGTCATAACAAAATCATTGACGCCATTGATGGATTATTGCCTGTCAGATAAGCCTCATCAGCCTCTTCGGTTAACATGAACTCAGAAATGAATAAAAGTAGGGCAGAAGTTTTTTTTTCTTCACCCAGGGGAGACTGCGCTCACCTCTATTTCCTGATTTAGATAGGTGGGACGTTAGAGAAGAGCGGACAGGATTCTGCAGTTTATATGGCAGAGCAAATATTTGCCAACACGAATGGCCAATGACAGAGAAATTTATTGTGAAATTTTAGAAAAATACTTGGATGCTCCAGTTTCTCCTGCTGTCAGGGGAGGAACAACAGAAAAACAAAAAAAGGAATGGAAAGAAAATCTCATTATGGTGTAGGGCTGCCACGATTAGTCGACTAGTCACGATTATGTCGACTATTAAAATCGTCGACGACTGATTTAATAGTCGACGCATCGTTTGAAGCTTTGTAAGATCACAAAGGACGCAGGAATGAGTAGTAGGATTTAAGAGTGTAATAACGGACTGAAACAGAAGATGGCAGCACTGCATGTACAAGGATGCCAGCCGCCGTTAAACCCCGAAGAAGAAGAAGCTGTGTCCCAGAATTCATAGCGCAGCCCAGCGCAGTTGTCAACAATGGCGGCAGCTAGTTAGTTTTAATATTGCTCTTATTATTCTTTCTGGGTCACAAAATAAACCTTTAACATATTTTCAGGCGAGAATGTAGCTGTGTAAACCTCAAATATCGGCTCAGTTTATCAAGACACCACATATTTTCAAAAGCGCTCTGACGTTTTCGGAGACGTCTGTTACCCACTAGCTCGTTAGCTAGGCGGGGGCAAGGCTAACTAGAGCCGTGAGAACACCGGACTCCCGGCAAATCGTTTTCAAACCCACCGCCATCTTTCGCTAGTCAGGTTAAACATTTATATAAGTCACTTAGATAACTTAAAAATGTTATTGTTTGGCTTTCTTTAGTATTTTATTTGTTCCTGAGTAAATCGGTTTGGCTGAGATTAAAGTTATAGTTTTTGCACAGCTAAAACTGTCAAGCAGACAGCTGATTGTCAGAAGTGTGAGACGTTGGAGAATATACTCCGGTGTCCTGTTATATTTTAGAAAGCAAGGAGTTTATTAAACTTCACCGAAACAATCTGCAAATTTCATTAAAAATTAATAAACTACCATCTTGTCTTTATTTTTAGTTAGCACAAACACTTCAAGCTGTAAGCTAATGATAGTTATATAAGAGCAGATGCTGCTGGTGCAATAAGCTGTACGCTGTACGTCCAATGGATGATGATCTGATTAGTCGACTAATCGCAAAAATAATCGGTGACTAGTCGACTATCAAAATAATCGTTTGTGGCAGCCCTATTATGGTGACATGTCGTAGCTGGACCTTAAAATATTCTTCACAGCTCATGCCTTCTTCAGGAGGTAGCACGAATGAGCTGAAGGGGATGTATGTACAGGAGAGGCACGAGCACGCGAGCATATAATCAAACAACAGCTGCTCCACCTCCAAAACAATTTGATCCTATTGAGCCTATTGATTTTGCACACGCTGAGATATCTTTCAGTTACACAGATGCTCAAAAACAACAGCAACGACCAAACAAAGAGGAAAAAATGATAAATGAGAACCACACATGTGACACCGCAGAGTATTGAACATTTTGGTGTTAAAGAACAGCACATATATTGATTTAAACAACAGTAACACACAAAGACGACATAAACCACACAATCATCACAAAAATAACTAAAATCCCTCCCTAAAGACCTGGATCCATAGCTTACCATTGCTAAATCCAAAATGCTTTACAGTGCATTAACATCTTCACACATTTTTATGTTCTCACTCCTCAAACAAGCACATCAACTTTCTCCACTTGGCTATCTTTGCACATTAAAAAAAAGCTTTCACACATCAATAAACTAGAAAATCTTTGCTGAGGGCTCACAGTTTCTTTTAATGGGGGCTTAAAATCAATATACCTCGTGGATAGCTGGGTGTTTAAGAAGATTTTGTGCTGATGAGAGATTTGGAAAAGCAGGTTCAAGAAATAACATCCAGATTTTGTACCTATGAGCATAAACCGAGGCTGCAATAGCTAGGATGTGTTTAGAAAGCAATGTGCAACTAAAAATACTCACATGTCTCAGTTCGATTAAGCAAATCATTTAATTGAACCCTATCTGATAACCCTGGGTGGTCTGCGGTTAAATATATCATTACTCCTTTGCCTGAGCAAACCATCTACTATGAGGCTTCTCACCAGGTCCTGTAAAGGTCCCGTGTGACACTAATTCTGTGGTCTTTACACTGACTCCCTGTAAAGTTTGGGGCTCAGTGTGAGACTTTGGTAATCACTTTCAGAGCGCTTCATGGTCAGACGCTTCCCCTAGTGAACTTCTCCATCCACGTGTAACTAATAAGCCTCTGAGGTCAGCTAATCAGTGCATTTGGTGGTACCTCGATCTAGGTCAAGGACAAACTCAGATGGTGCTTTTTGGTTTGTGGCTCCCAAGTTGTAGAACTCGATTTAATTCGACTTCAGCTCTGTGGACGCTGTCTACACCTTTAAAAAGAAGCTTATGACCCACCTATGCAGGATTGCTTCTATCTACTTTTATCCATTCATAGCATTTTAATTGTTGTTTATATTGCCACACACTTTGCAACATTTATTCTTGAAAAGTGCTACATAAACAAACGTCACTTACTTAAATCTTTCCCAATCCACCCATGACTACACTCAGTAATGCACCATCCATAGGAGACAAGCTTTTAAGCAGTACACACCAGGATCCAAACAAAGAACGTGGCTAAACAAAAAGGCTTTGGAAACCTTGTGAGAATTTCACTTAGAGCAAGACATCTGCTACTGAAGAACACACAGCAGAGCTTCATCATTTGTGTGTTACCTACTATTTACATCTGGATGCGTCTTTGTGGACTAAAAGAAAATTAAGCGACTGTATGTGAGGTGATGGGAGACACTTTGGACCCAAATCTTAAGAAAGACATAGATTATATGTTAGGCCTGTTCTTACTGTCAAGTGGCTCCCATGCTGTTCTTTATTACTAAAAGGTTTAATTTTCTGTATGCTTAAGACTTGAAGACCATGCTTTGAACACTGCAAGTATTTTTTTTCTTAGTGCATGCATAATTAATAGGAGTGAATGTCTAAACAATGGAAGAGTTTTGGAGGTATGCTGATGTGCCTTACTAATTAACTGAACACAGAGGTGGGAAGTACCGAAGTACAAATACTTCTATATTTTACTTAGGTAGAGTTTTCAGGTACCTCTGACTGAGCACGTGCTGCATATTTTGATCAGTGTATTCTTATGACAATGCACTGCAGCAAAAAGATGTCAATATAATACAAATTTAATCGAATTATGGTTAAAATCTTGCTCTTTATTGATTGATTAAACATCAGATCATTTTGTACATCCCACTTGACATCCTGTGAGCATGACTTCCAGTTCAAAGCCTAAATTCAAGGGGTTTAACAAACATATTGCATTAACTATTTAGAAATTAGTTCAGAAACTCAAAGGTATTTGGATAATATGATACAGGGATTGTTTTGGGGGTTTTTTTTTATACAAGGACTCATTTACCTGTAGTAGGCTAAAACCTGATATTAGGTTATCCAAAATATTACAATATTCACAGAGGAATGAATGGGCAGTTTGAAGAAGTGCACCTCGATAGGCATGATAAACCAAATGACATTATAGTATGTGGGGCTTTTACTTGACTCTGTGTCTCCTTTTGAGACCAACCAGATTAATTCAGACAAGTGCTATAGAAGTAGTGAAAAACCACAGTGCTATTGAGATTATTCATCTCTTCTTGACATGATCTTATTTAAGATGTGACAGATGTGTTTCCACTTGATATATTACCTGGAAATCTCCAAGACAGGAAAATATCTACTGTAGAATACTGATAACCCTCAAATATGTTGTTTTGGAGAAAAGGAAGAAGGTAGTCCAAGTATTCACAAAAGGCATGAAGGTGCAAGAATTAAGATAGACATATTAAGAAAAAATCATGCTAAGAAATGGCTCAATAATAATAAGTTATCGTGTGCTGCAGGCTTGCTCAGCACTGAAGAGGCTAATCTACAACCCACATTCCAGCACAAACCAGCTACTGTGTTAAGCACCTCTCCTAATAAATGTGCTGTTGAGCAATAAAATGAAACACTGGCTGTTTATGGGTATTACCTTATAAATGAATCCATCTGGACAGGCGTGGTCGTAGGTGAAGGCTTTATAAACCACCAGGAACACAATGCAGGCAAGGAAGGCCAAGGCCAGGATGATCAGAATCGTCACCTGCAGGGAGGACAAACACTGGTCAGAGCAATAATGGACGATTGTAGTTTTCGTGAGGCAGGTTTAGGGTTAGACAGCGAGAAAGATTGAGCATGTGCACCAATGCGTGTCTACATGTGTGTGTGTAGTCATGACAAATGGTAAGATGTTGTTGACTGAGGTCAAAAGCTCCTCAAGGCAAGGTGTTCCTGTTGAAATGTGTGATGAATGACTCAAGTGGTGACACTATTAAAAAGTACCTTGTTCCCACGGTGACAATGCTGCAAAGATAAGACATTAAGTGAGCGAGGTAAATCACTGTTCTGTTTACCTTTGTTCAGGTATATATGTGTGTTTCTCTGATACAGTACATGCATATTTTGCACCAACACCTTTGTCACTAAAAGGTCTCTTTTTTTCTTTCTTTCAAAAACTCAGATTGAATCAAAGCTCTTTTCTGTTCAAGCATCCCAGTAAGCTGTGACAGGTGTGACAGCGAGCCTCCACATACCATCCCTGGCCTGTCGTGCTACATATCCATCTAGATCGCTTTGGTGTGAATTACCCACCTTCGAAGACCTTGCTGTAGAAATGTCTGCCCTCTCTTGGTTGTAATGAAACTGGCACTTGGTTTAAAAACCCACAATCCATGCTGAGAGCAATTTCATGTGGGAACTATTTCTAACAAACTACACCCACCAGTTGTATCAGTGCATAGCAAAAAGCGAATATCTACCCACGGCGAGAGGCTGTGTTCATGACAGGATGTAAATATTAGTGACCACACACTGCAGAACTACAGTATAATGTTAGTGAGCTGGATGCTTGTTTTACTTGGCAGTCAACCCACAACAGGGTAATTTAGATGGGTAAACAGTGTTACAGATAAAAGGAAAAGCAGGTAAAATTGATTTGGGGATAATGACCCCTTCAATTTTTGTCATCATCTGAATTCATTGTCTTTTTCCTGTCTTCCTCCATCCACCCCCAGTTGGGGGTAGAAGATTTAGATTTGTTCTGTTTGTGCATGATGTATTGTATATGTTGTTTTAGACTGCTGTATGTGAAGCAAATTAGCCCACAATGATATGGCATTAAATTGGTCCTGAAAGATACGTATCTATGAATTCTTATTTCATAGATCGAACAAGGTGCTGGAAACATTCCTAACAGGCCTGACGGCATCACGCAGTTGCTGTACAACCCTTATACAAATTGTGTATTTCACCAAAAAGGTGGCCTCTGGTGACTGTGAAAAACATTTGATTACAGTGAACTATTGCTATGTTCAAGAAACTATTCTAAGTTAGTTTAAGACATCAGAAGATGGGTACACTGTGGTCATAAAGGACTGTACATGGTCAGTAACAACACTCAGGTAGGCTGTGGCATTTCACCCTCTATCACCCAGGACTTACACTTAGTATAAGTAATTTTGGCTGTAAAACTATTTTAAAAATCTAATCTTTTAGGAACCATTTGAATGTTTTCCTCAGCCCAGAATAGTTGAGGAGTTACGGTAATGTGAAGTGCACATGGTAAAATCTAGGCAGAGCTGATTTTTCCGTTTGTGTTCAGACGGCAGAACCTAATGAATGCTTTATGCTACTGTGATACATCAAAAATCCCTGTAAAGCTCGTCTTTTCTTCTTTCTGAAGCCATTTTAATTTAATCTGTAGCACAAACAGTAAAAGAATGACAGTTAGTTAAAGAGCACCTGTAAAAAGAGCCAGGGTTAAACAATGCTTAGCTGGTACTAAAGGGCCCAAAGTGTGCCAAGAAAACCTCCTCCATGCCATTACATCACCACTAGCAGCCTGAATTGCTTAATAGGGCAGGATGGATCCATGCTTTCATGTTCTTTACACCAGATTTTCCATTTTTCTAAAGTAGAACAGTATTGTTTTTTTCTGTTTGCTTGTTTTGTTTTTATCCATGGAGATATGCTGCAGTCACTCTGTTGTTAAAAATGCTATCGATTGGTTTTTGGACGTCTTGTCTGTGAGTCATCCACGTGAATCAATCAGAACCCTTCCTGCCACCAAACCTGCGCTAATTGTCAGCGCACTTGAGTTAGTGAATTAGCCCACCATTTAATTTCTGAAATTCTCCAGCTGCTCACTGCCAAAAGCAGAAGAAAGAAAAGTGCCCTTCATTTTTCACTGTAAATAACAGGGTGTACAAAAGAGAACTATAAATTGCATATTCTTGATCTCAATGAAATATAATTTAAAAGAAAAGAAATGAAACAAAGCATAATGTTTGGGTCAGTTTCAATAACAAGGGCCAATGAAATGTTATCAGCCTGGACAAGCACTTGTATGGAATCAAAAACATTATGCAGTGTGAAAAATGCCCAAATATCAGCCCAAAGCAGAGCTAATCGAAAATGATGGAAGTAATGCATTTATTTCTGCATGCTGATGCAAATGTGTAGTTTGATGTGTGAAATATTCATTTCCCTGGCAGGCTAGACAATGTTGTAGTAAAGTAGATTAACATATAAAAGGATTTGTTTCCTCCTACTTTCTACTTGACACCCTGATTGGGTGCTTCTGAGTGAGCATTTAATTAGAATTATGCAAATGGAGTACAAAGGATAGCTGTAGGTAAGTGTGAGCTGAATGAACATAGCTGTATCTCCTAAAAAAAAAAGAAAAACGTTAATATTAAAAGTCAGAGTTATACCAGGGAGTCAGCTGAAATATGGACTCTTCCATAATGGATGAACGTATCTAATTTTCTCTTTTCATTTCTAGACCAATGTTAAAGCCCGATTTACTGCTGTGTATACAATCTGTCACAGCGAGATGTCAGAGCAATTACGCGCGGTTGTAATCATCAGTCTCCATCAGCGTTATGCGGGTGGACAGTGACACGCAAGCTAAGTGACTGTTTACTTGGTGTCAACCGGGGGACACGACTCTCAGCCTCGGTTGCTGCTGACACTTTTTGTAAATTACATCTCCCGCACTGCTAAACGTGAAAAGAACGCGCTGAAAGTCATAGCTAACTCGTATTTAGGGAGCAGCGGCAGACGTGGAGTGACTGACGAAGGACCCACCCCCTTTTTTTGAAGTCCTGAATAGCGATGCACATGAAACGGGCTTATTAAGAAGAAGGATTACTGTAAAGCTCCTCATATCATGAAGAAAGCAATGTGAGTTGCTCATGCATGTGGGCTTTAAAACTTAAAAACTCTGAAGCATGAAAAGAAGGCTTGAGTCTGAAGAGATCTGCACTCCTGTGTGCTGCTAAAAATGGAGGGAATTTAAAGAGTCTTCATCCACGCGCTGGAACCGTTTGTCTGAAATAGTCATTTAGGGGATTATTTACTAAATGACACTTTTAAAATTAGGTCCTGACATATTACATACGTAAAACAGATTAGCGGGATTAACCCTTGCACCGAGTGTGTAGTGTTGATGTTTATGTTCAGTCTCTCTCTGATGTTAATTGTTGTTTGAGTGATGACTCAAGCAGGAATTTAGCCCACCCTCGGTGACAGAAATGATCGCCCTAAAATCCCTGTTGATGCAGCTGCTGTGGCCATGTGGTGTGCAAATCCATTAAAAATCTATCCTGACCTTTCTCCATTATTCATAATCTGGCTGAACTCTGCAGTAAACCTTAGAAGGTTCAGCTGAGGGAAGTCGACTCCCTCCATGCATGTAATGGCTTCAAACTTCTATTTACTGTCTTACTGTAATATTTCGCTGCTATAGGATGACACTACTGTACTCATTTATCTGATCTGAGCGTAACAAAATGCGCATTTATGGAACAGAACAAGCTACACCAGAACATAACAGAGCAGAGAAAGGCTTTTTTTGATTTGATCACTACAAAACTATAATTATTCTAGCAAGGCACCCACATCAGCGTCATCCCATTTTCTTCTCAGTATACTCAATGTGACTGTTTTGTCACTAGCACTTCAGTATGTGTCATACTACACTACTATCACCACCAACACAACCACCATCCCGTTTGCTGTGCAACACAGATAACAGACAAACGCTTGTTTGTCTTGGATGCAGGTAGAGGCGCAGCATGTTGTTGCGCTTTGAATAAAGAACAGCGTGTCTTTAACAAGGATTGGCTTCATGAGCAGAGGCTGGGTGGCTACAGGTAACCGTGCCTGCTGGGGCTTTAATCACTTCACCTAATCCACCGTGGGGGTGGGGCCGAGGGAAAAAGACCTCAAACTGTCTGCATTTAAAACCACACAAAGCAAAATAAATAAATAAAAATAGATTTGACAAGCATCACAGACTTCCTGTGGATCCACAGTTTGCTCACATGAAAGACTAATAAGAACTCATGAGTAAAGTACAACAACGTTGAGAAAAACAAACTTTCAGCAAATTTATATGTAGAATTTATATTAATTTTATTCCGGGTTAAAATGTGCGTTCTCTACACTACACTACAGTACCAGCAGCAACACTCCGCAGAGATATTGGTTTTTAATGACATGACAGTATCGCACAGTTGCTGTAGACTTACCTGACGGACTTTCGTAATTGAAATCTCCACCACAAAGTTGCTCTATTAGACTGAGATCTGGTGACTGTGGAGGCCATTTGAGTACATTGAACTCATGTCATGCTCATCACCCAGTTTGAGATGACTTTTTTCATGTTTATTAGCATTTGCAACTTACATGTTTAAATAAAGATTTTATTCGTTCATTCAAAATCAAATCAAACGAATGAAATCAGAAACTATGGAACTACTCAGCGAAGGCTATCGGCATCATCTTCTTGGTAAATCTATTTCAAAAATACTGACGGCCTGTGATAGTTATTTTAAAATCCTATAAGTGATTTTCAGAAAATTTGACCTCTGACCTTGACAAAGTCACTGAGATTTCAACTCATCGCCTCGTTCTTCTGGGGTTACTGTGTTCACAAACTTGGGTGCCTGCCCACCTGTCATCCCAGTTGGGTGACGACAATACCTCATCAGCCTTTATGGCAGAGGGGTAAAAACGTTATTATAAAGAATAAACTAGAAT